CATTTGGTGGCAGGTCTCAAGAGCTGGGTCCCTGCCACCAGGTGGTCCAACCGGACTGCGTTATTCTTCATGCCATTCCAAGTCGAAGGTGGCGCAGTTTCTGCTCATGTGGTGGATGCGTCTTTTCCGATTCAGCTGGGGTGCGACAAAGAACGAAGACAGCCGAAAGTGATGGACACCAGACTCCAGCTGCTTGGAATCAATGACATGCAGTTCCAGTCGGAGGTCGTTTATGCCATAGTCGGATGCCAGCCCCCGGTGCTACATGGTGACACTTGGGTTGTACTGATGCCTAGGATCGGCAGTGCGGGTGGCTTAGTCAAGCTAGTTGGCCATCAAGGACATGCAAGGATTTTGAGTACGGGTGGTTTCATCGACAGTCACAGGGATCAGCCTTTCATCAAGGATGCGGCGAGTATTTCTGGCGTTTATGACATCACGGGTCGCTTTCACGTGTTGCCACGTCCTGTTGCAGCCATGTCCATTCGGGCGTGGTTGGAACAGCATGGGCAAGCGCTCAGCCGTCATATGTGGATGACGGTCAACGGCTCACGAGGTTCCTTCGATGAGGTTATTCAAGCAGGTGAATCTATCATCGTTAGATTGCGTGCCCGCCTGCTAGGAGGAGGAGGCAAGTCGCCGGACTTTCAGAAGTTGTGCAAGCATCTGGTTCAGAAAGGAGTGCCCGAATCAGCTGCGACTCAGCGTGCCAACCAGATTCAAGAAGCTATCGGAGAAGCAGCCATCCAAGCGGCGTATGCCAGCTTGGACCCGTGGAAGCATCTGAAAGAATCTGCAGGAAAGAAAGTCAGACTGGTGCTACCGGAGGAACTCCGCGCAAAAAGCAGTGCCACAAAGAAGACCAGCGAGGCAAAAGACCCTTGGGCGGAAACTGATCCTTGGTCGGAGGCTATTGCAAACAAGCAAGCCAATGTTGAAGATATTCAGTTGGTGCCGGATTTCTTCGTGGATGGTCATCATCAGCCACTTCCGTTGTTGAAGTCACTTACATCTGGAGCCAAGGGAGTTGTGCTTGCTTCTGTCAAGGATGTGGAGGTGTTTGCACAGCTCAATGGGGCATCTTCTGATGATGAGCTGGCGGCAATTACGTTAGGGCTCATCCCTCCCAAGACGGGCAAGGTCGAACCGATTGCGATCACGCTTCCAGTGATCCATGGGTCGGACAAGTTATTGGTCAAGGGTTTTTTGATCAATTTGGGCCTGCAGCCGGCGATGACGAACAATGCGATGCCACAGTTCATGGCCGAATCGCATGACATGTCGGTTTTGACAGTTGAGGCCCGAAAGGAATACATCAATGAGCAGGACTGGCGGCAAGTGATCGACAATCCAATCCGCTATGTTCGTAGTGCCATCAAAGGGTTTCAGAGCGCTGTGGTTGGTTCGTGGAGCCGCAAGTTCTTCAATGATAGGAAGCCTGCGAGTGCGGAAGATGCTACATCTTTCCATTGCTTTGTGCGTGTTGATTCGGAATCAGTTGAGCCACTCCTGGCTCAGTCTGGCCAAGGCGGGATTTTTATGGTCCCAAAGGATGAGTGCGGAACTGCGTCAGGGAAGTTCCGAATCTTGTGGCTAGACACAGTATGTTTGGAAAGAGCTTCGGCAATGCAAAGAGCGAACGCTGAATCTTGCGGCCTGACGCGGGGCAAAACATCCTTAGGCCTCCGTGTGAGACCTCAGGACTACCAGAAAGTGCGACGGCGTCTTGAACCGAGCTGGGACCCCGAGAACATCATGGTCGATGTGAGTGTTGAGCGGCGCTGGACACTCGCACCAATCCCGCATGAAACCAGCAAGAAATCAGTGCAGCTTCTTCTCAATTCCATGCATTGGCGTGCTACTCCCATCAAGCAAACAGGATCGTGCGCATGGCTTGTGGGATCCGAAGCTTCTGCCGAGCCTCCGGCAGACACAGTGCAATTCGGAGATCACCTTGTCCTCATCTCGGAAATCAAGAACCGTAAGCCTGTTCAGCAGGAAGACGCAGTGGTTGCAGGGCCTAAATCATTGCGCAAAGCATTGGGCAGGCAACTTGCGGCTGGAGATTGTGTATCCTTGTGTAGCACTGTTTCCTCGTTGCCTTCGGGCTCAGCTCCCTCAACCGTTGGTCCAACCCGCCTTCTTGTTGGAGAGCTCAAGACGGAAGTAGACGACAAGCTTGAGGCAATGAGAAATGACTTCAGGCAGGCCATGTCTGAACTCACGAATCAACTCCAAGCATCCGAAAGCATCGCATCGAGTCGTGCTGCTGAGATCGAGCTCAGGCAACAGAGCCAGGAAGAGCGGCTCGGGAGTGTTGAGCAATCCGTGCAGTCCTTGGCAGACAAAGTAGTTACTAAAGTTGACTTGTCCACTGCTTTGCAAGCGGCCATGGAGCAGCAGACACGTGATCTAAGATCTCTGCTAGCGAAACGTTCACCAGATTGCACTCCTTCGAGTGATCCCAAAATGCAGAAAACAGGATGAATCCCTGTTGGTTGCATGCCCGTAGTTCAGAGACCCTCTCTTCAAGATTACAGTGCGATTGATGACAGCCTTACCGCTGGAAGGTACGCGTGTGTTGTCTTGAGAAGGGGCTCTCCTCCTTGCCACGGTGTGGATGCCTGTTTTTGCAACTGTCCTACGACGTTGTTGGTGTCCACATCCAATCCCTGTGCTTGGGTAACGTTCTGCACGCTGCTCGGGTTTGCAAGTTCGGTTAAGTTGCATGATGTTTGTTTCGATTTTTCTAGGGTCTCCCCTAGGTTTAGGATGTGCATGGGACCAGCCTTCCCATTGAGTAAGTGTTTGTGTATCCAACAGTTCGGGCAGCATAATTATTTGCATGGTTGCAGGGTCGGCGAGGCTGAAAACCCCGGCCCACCGTGGAAGCTCACTCTTCGCAACATTGTGTCTGCGGAGAAACATGCGCCGGAGCTCGACCGCACAGCTGACTGCACAGTATGGTCCGAGACCAGCGCTACTGCACTGACCATCGAGAAGCTTCATAAGCGTGCTAGGTCCCTTAAGGGGTATTTGGCAACTTCTGCTCCCGGTCTTTACAGAACGTCTGGGGTAGGTAGAGGCCAGGCTTCGGGGTCCCTTGTCTTTTCTTCTTCCTATGCTCACTCCCTTCATGAAGTGTGGGATGCTGCTACGTGGAAGTCGGCGCGTGTCGCAGATGCGTTGGTTCACATTGAGTCTAATCAAGTCAGAGTGGTTGCTGTGTACGGTTATCATTCGTCCATTAAGGACCATATGGACCTCAACGAGACTCTTTTTCAGGAAGTGTTTCGTATGCTTTCGCAGCTGCATGTTCCTACAATCTTGCTCGGCGATTTCAACTGCACGTTGCAGGATCTGGGGTGTTGGGGTCAGGCTGCTGAGACGGGGTTCGTCGATGTCGCTGAGTGGTTTGCTGGCTTCTCAGGTGCGTTGCCCGAGCCAACATACCGGGGGAAAAGCAGGTTAGACTATGTAGTTTGCAATAGGTTTGCGGTTCAGGCGATTAGTGGTTTTCACGTGGATCCGTGTGGTTACACAGATCATGCCAGTCTCCACTGCGAGTTTTGTTGGGACAGGCTGAATAGCAAGGTCCCGCAGTGGTCCATGCC